CAAAGATCTAACCCAAGAAGACTGAAAAAAAAAAGATTAATATATTTCAACAGACATCTTAACAAACTTCTTTTGATCGTAAATAGAATTTAAGGACATAAGATTATGTTTACAAAAAAATGAAAGGTTGATAACTGAATATAAGAAGAAAAAAAAAGTTTAAACACTTGTGTACCCAAATTAAGCTGACAGATCCAAAATGGGAAAGAATTTAGAAGTTCTCATTCTGTACATATCCAAAAACAAATTCAGTCTTTGGAAGTAAAACAAACAAGGTCAGGAAATGGGGGAACTAAAATTACCTGAGCAGAAATGAGTTTCAAACAACAGATATTTTTACCTACTTTGATGATTCAACAAGTGAGAAAGGAATTTCACTGCTTTTCTGTGCCTTTTAGGATTTGTTAATCGACCATCATACTGGAAACAAAATCTCACTCAGAAGAGAATAAATAATATGTTTCTCCCAAAGATCTAATTTCTCTCAAGATTTGATTGTTTTGTTAAATTATACTAAATATTTCTATGATGAGTGTTGCCAAAGCTCTTTTCTAGGTATTTCTAAAATTTCACAAAAACTCTACCTAAACTATACAATTAATCACGGCCGTCGTCAAATGTGGCATTATCAATTAACGTTTAACAGAGAGCAGAAGATATTTCTGATGCCTAGCTCTTGAAACAAAAAATAACTTAGCTGGGATTTCTAGCCACTGGAATAACCCAAACATGTTAAATCAAAGAAGAAAAGCTCAGGAAACTAGAAACAGATAAACAATAATACATTAATGGATGAAACAATTAAAAAAAATTCAAGTAACAATCAACACAAGTATACAAAAATCACCATAAACTGAGATCAAAAACTGATCATCAATAAATCTGGGTGATTGGTGGAATCTTCCAATCAATTAATTGTTGGGCTCATTAGTCAATTATTCTCACATGAGATTTGGACAGTTGGATTATTCTAAAATAGTAATAACTGGAAACACCAATTTTCGATTTAACAGTTCACTATTTTCCTGATATTAATCAATTTAATGCTAATTTTAATTAATTACTTTAGATGACACTAATTGATGTAATTGATGCTCATAGGTAATTTATTAATCGAGTTAACCGCCTAGCTCGATGTGTCAATAGGGTTCAGATGAAACTAACCATCCACCAATCACAAGTCTTCACAATGAATAATTGTACCTTAATGACATCAGAAAAACACTTAGGTTCAAGAAGTCTTAATATATATATATATATATATATAATGACGAACACCATATAACAATACGCTTTCAAAAGACAGGCCTTTCTTCTTCAGGGAGAAACTGTCCTAAAGAAAAAAGGTCCACCTTTTGAAAGTGCTCAGGTTATGGAGTTATGCTTTAAGTATGCACTACACTCGTAACACGGTGACCCAAAGGAGTCGAGATATAGACCGAGGTTACAGAAAAAGCATGAATATAGGAAAGACCATCAACCAACTAAGTTCACTATCTCGAAATTTCAAGATTAAATTTAATCGTAGAACAATTCACAGATCCTTTATTATCTTTATTCTAACCGGCTGCCTTCAGTTTAGCACACTCTTCATTTAGTGAATCCACTGCTTCTTCCAAGGAACGTCTCTTGTTCTCCACATCTCGCATTGACTCTTGCAGCGATTTCACCTTAGCTTCATACTGAAAATAAGATATAAAACAAATACATCAGAAATTGTGAAAGGAATTAGAACAAAACTAATAAAATTTCTTAACAAAAACAAACACTAAAAAACGCAAAACTAGCGAATCACTCGCAGAAGAATACAAAATCCACAACTAATTCATAAAGGAAATAACACCCACAGTAAATAACTGAGAAAACACAATAAAACAAGCACATTACAGATAATAAAGGTTTACACTTGCCTATATTACAAGAAATTAAATTATGTTAATTCTTTTTTTTCATTGAACAAAACTCAAGAAAATAAATGACAGTCAATTTTTACCTGGCTAATAAGAAGTCGACATTGTGCCATTTCTTTTTCATTAGCTTCAATTTTCTTGTTACAATCTGATTGAAACCTTTCTAGCTGCTGACACCTCTGTAAATGGAAGCACATCCCAAGTTATAAAATGTATAAAAATCTGGATATCTCTAAATACTTAGGTGATTTCTCAATAACCAAACAAACATGGTTCAAGTTACCTAAACCACAGTACTAAAACGTACACAGAAAAACTAAAAAAAAACATGAGCTCAAAAATGTTTATTTTAGTTTAAAGTAGTTGTAATTATTCAAAATTCCAACTAAGCTTTATCATTATGTAGCCAGTGATTCAAAAACAGGGGATCATGGTAATAGGGATGTCATATCTTGATTGTTAAGGTAACTAATTGGTAAGCATAAACAATGGTTGAGTTTGAATATTGCTCTGTGTCAGTTTTTCACTTCTTGCAAAAAATCTCTAGTTAGTTTGTTTGTTATGAATTTCGCTCAAAACTACACAAGGGCTATCTGTACTAGCCGTCCCTAATTTAGCAGTGTAAGACTAGAGGGAAGGCAGCTAGTCATCACCACCCACCGCCATCTCTTGGGCTACTCTTTTACTAACGAATAGTGGGATTGACCATCACATCATAACGCCCCCACGGCTGAAAGGGTGAGCATGTTTGGTGGAACGGGGATTCGAACCCGCGACCCTCAGATTGCGAGTCGATTGCCTAACCACCTGGCCTTGCCGGGCTCCTTTAGTTAGTCTAATTAAAACACTTAAGCTAAGCAACTCCAAACATACAACGATGAAAAATAATAATTGTTAGCTTTACAAGACAATTGGCATAACTTAAGAATCTGGCCTAACTCATTCCATAATATCAATGAAATGAAAAGTGAGAATTCCAACATTCAGGATAAGTTATCACAGTTGGTTAAATCATCTACACAACAAACAGAGAGTTTGAATCCCACCCGCACTCCTATTTTTTTCTTCTTTTAATAGCTAGCAAAACAAACAAAAGAATTAATGATTTTTTTCATTTAAGTTTTATATTCATGAAATCAACAGTATATTTAGTTATTTGAAACCAAGTATTAAAAGTTTAATTATAAATTTTGGGATTGTTTAAAACACATTATCCTTTAACTGTTTAAAAGAAAAATATCAGATTGAATTTTAAAAAAAACTCTATTGCAATGTTCTTACCTGAACTAAACCTGTAACTTCTGTCTTCATCTTGCTGATGTACAAACGAGCAACAGTGTACTCCTCTTCAATTTTTCCAGCCATATCAGCTGATGGCTGTAAAATATAAAAAAATGTACCAATAAACTTTGGCAGTAAAATATATAAAAAAAATGTACCAATAAACTTTGGCAGTAAAATATAAAAAATACCAATAAACTTTGGTTGTAAAATATAAAAAATACCAATAAACTTAGGCTGTAAAATATACAAAATAAAATGTACCAATAAACTTTGGCTGTAAAATATACAAAATAAAATGTACCAATAAACTTTGGCTGTAAAATATAAAAAAAAAACGTACAAATAAATTTTGGCTGTAAAATATGAAAAAAAACGTACAAATAAACTTTGGCTGTAAAATATGAAAAAAAACGTACAAATAAACTTTGGCTGTAAAATATAAAAAAAAACGTACAAATAAACTTTGGCTGTAAAATATAAAAAATACCAATAAACTTTTACAATTTTTTGCCATATTTTACAATATCTTTTACAAGATATTTTTAAGTTTCAAAATTTAAAATATACACATTCAATTTTAACCTTGAAATTAATATTATATTAATAAAAAAAACATATATATAGAGGTTATAAGCTGTTCAACTAAAACAAATCTTAATTATTCTGATAACAAAGTCAACAAACCAACTTCAATTAATAATGATATGCATAAGATTTATTATTACTTAATATAGTACCAAGTGTACATGTGTGAAATATTTTGTAAACATAATTTTATAGCCCGACATTATACATACCTTCATATCTGCTATGTTTCCACCAAGAACTCCACCAATCTCTCCAAGATCCTTCAAAAGATTGGTCAGCATTTCAATAACTCTCTTACGTTGGTGTATGTTGTGATCTCTCTGCAGTTGTAGGTCATTCTGTGTTGAATTCAGCTGTGACTGTCAATTCAATGGAAAAAATAATGGAGGTTAAAAACAAACTTCTGTGATTCATGTAATGAGGATAACTAGTAAGTAGCTGATAAAAGTTCTATGTTAATTACAATCATGCAAATTGATGAATCTCAAAAATGGACAAAAGATTGTACACATCTAAAACAGATGTTCTCAAACGCTTTTGTTTGCGGATCACTAGAATTCGTTATTATTATTATCTCAGTGGACTACAATGGGATCTAAGCCACTTCTTTTTTCATAATTACGTAGCCTTTCCACGGACCACATGAACGGAGACCACAGATTAAGAACCAATGATTTGAAGGATGAGAACGTAGTTGCACAAAACTCTCAAGCAACTAGATTAAACCATAAACCGCAGAATAAATCGCACATTTTGTTAACTATTGCAATGATTAAACACTATCAGATTTTAATCAGTTTAACTGCCACAACATATAACATAGGACACATGATCCACTTACAAGTTTATGGCTCAGTTCTTCACTAAGGTTTTCAAAATCTCTATTTTTAGTCTCCACTTCCTGCGACTTCTGGTCATAGTTAACAGCCAGCTCTTCCAGAGCTTGGAGAACCTCCTTCACCTCTTCTTTTGCAGACTCATTCTCTTCCTGGATTCTGTTCATTTCTTGTTGAAGCAGTTCATAGTCTCGTCGTGTTGACGTTATCAGCTGCTCAATTAAAATAATCCTTTAAATCTTCTGGAAAATAATATCTTAATATCCATGGAAACTAAATCCTTTATTAAATAATTTTTTTTATAAACAAACTACTTTCAGCCAAGATCACAGAAAACATGGTGAAAAGACATGCAAGCTATGGCACACAGAAAAAATGCTTTTTGCTAAGCACTTGCATAGTGGCTTGTCTGTGCTCTGCTCATCACGCATATTGAAACCTGATTGTTAGCATTGTAACCACTCAGATTTACCACCGAACTGCTGGGAGGCCACAATGAAACAGACAATACATTTCATTGTAACCACTCAGGCTTACCACCGAAATGCTGGGAGGCCACAATGAAACAGACAATACATTTCATTGTAACCACTCAGGCTTACCACCGAAATGCTGGGAGGCCACAATGAAACAGACAATACGTTTCATTGTAACCACTCAGACTTACCACCGAACTGCTGGGAGGCCACAATGAAACAGACAATACATTTCATTGTAACCACTCAGACTTACCACTGAGCTGCTGGGAGGCCATAATGAAGAAGAACATACATTTCATTGTAACCACTCAGACTTACCACCGAACTGCTGGGAGGCCACAATGAAACAGACAATACATTTCACTGTAACCACTCAGACTTACCACTGAGTTGCTGGGAGACCATAATGAAGCAGAACATACATTTTTAAGACATTCAATTACACAAGTGATGAAATATTGTTACATGAATACACTATAAAGTTTCAATAAACACATTATCTTGATACATGGATACCTATAACAAATTCGAACATATTCACACAGAAATTTCCTAAAGTTATACAGGAACATTATTAGTTCCTGTTCTCAACATACTTAGTGACCTAACTTTAACCCTATGCAAGTGGCCGGGTCAACAGTGCTCATGTCACAATTTATTTAGGGAGATACATACAAAACAATTTAAAAATTATCTTACCAAACTTATATTAATAAATTTCTTAATTTCAAAACAAAATACTTAAATTCTCAATTTTCACTTCTTTGTGTCATGTGATGCATCTTGCCTCAGTTTTCTTTATTTTATTTTTTTTCAGTGTGTCCAACCAATAAGAAACACAAACTATAGATAATGATGGATCATAATATAAACTTTGAACCTCCTTGCTTCTTCATTTGCTGAGATATCAATAAATTTGTCAAACCCATCAAAGAGGCTTCACTCATCTTATCATAGTTTAGTGCAGTTTCTAGTTCCTGTGGTACATAGTTACTGAACACGTTTATAACTCATGTTTCACATTACAGGTTTCTTATGTGCATTCGTTTTAATTTTAACAATCAAGGTCAGCAGTTTGCAAGAAAACATTGTGTTGAGTGAACTTATTGCCCAGAACAAAAATAATTTTTTAAAACTTATTTAAAACTTTTTTGTGTTTTCTAATATACACATTTAAAGACTAAATGAAGTAGTTGTTGGACAAATGAAATACTGAGAAAAAAAAGAAGGCTTATTACATGTTACCCGTGTGCAAATGACCTCAAATCTTAAGTTAAATTTCTTTCTTTTTTCTTTATGTATATTTTTGACTTATATATTTTTAACACAAGTAACTGACATGTAAAACTTAAAACTAATTAGAGTAGACAAAACATAAATTATTTTTTTTTAATTTCTCGTGATCACTCCTTCTAAAAAGCATGTGGTTTTAGGTTCTGTGATGTTTACCCTAAACTGTCACGTTAATGATTTATTGATTTTCCCATACTTAGAGAGGATTCAAAGTGAAATATGTTAAAACCATAAAAGTAAATTAAAACTTATGTGAAAAGGTTAGAATCTGAGGTTGTGAGGATAACTAATTATAGGTGTCTGTTACGAAGCTTTTTTTTCATATTTTTCAACTTTTCAGTTCATTGTACATTGATAATTTTGAGTAGAGAAGAAAAGTGCTAAAAATATAAAGTTTTACTTAAGAAATAACTTTGATGTTCCTTTAAGAGGTTCTAGAGGTTGAGTAAATGAAATATGAAAAGAAGCATCTTTTTTTAAAGGAAAACTGCCCATCATTCAGACTGACTACACAAGTTCACAGGCAAATTTTTAATACAAATAACTTATTAAAAATCCAATTCTTTTTTTTTATGTACAACAGACTTACAAAAATTTACTAAAAGCTTGCCAGATTGGTGGAGATATACTCAAAGCACTCAAAGTTATAGTATGTATAGTTTCATGGTTACAAGGTCAATCAAATTCAGAGGCTGTGTGCATAGGGTTAACTGCATTCATATTATTATCATGGAACACAAGTACTCGGGATCAAAGACACTTTTCTACGTAAATACGCAGGCTCAAAGACACTTTTCTACGTAAATACGCAGGCTCAAAGACACTTTTCTACGTAAATACGCAGGCTCAAAGACACTTTTCACGTAAATACGCAGGCTCAAAGACACTTTTC